CGACCCGGCGGACACGCACCTGCGCATCCTGGGCAAGCCGGTGATGGAGCGCTGGGAGACCCCCTATATGCACTCGCTGGCCGCCGCCGCCGCCTCCAGAGGTAGCCCCCACCCGGCCTGCACCCTCCCCGGGACCGCAGGGGAAACTGAGGCTGGGGCCGCCCCGATCCGGGGACTCTGCAGTCCACCCTCCCGCTGGGGCGCCTCTGTCTCCTGGCCTGGGAAGTGGGGCTGCAGGTGGGGGCACACGGAGGCGTTCACGGGGAGTGCCGCAGGATTGGGGCCCCGCACACATTAGGCGCCTCCTAAGTACCGGGAACTTCCTCTCCAGGGGGAGTGAGACCCCCGCTCTCCGGATGGGGACCTCAAACGCGAGACCTGGGTGGAACCGGGTCCCCAGCTCCCTGTCTGAGATCGGGACGAAGGGGTCCTGCCAGGGAGAGGCTGCCGTTCTGTCTGCCGGGGAGAGCAGCCCCAACTCCCGTGGCTAAGAATAGCACCCAGAAAGCTGAGCTCAGGGAGACAGCTGTCCCCGGGGTGGCCCTGGCTTGCCTGGCGTCACAGGCGGAGGGCTGCTGAGAAAGGACTCCCTGGCCCCCACACAGGTGCCATCCCAGGGCTGGGCCCCAGTGTTCGCACCCTGAAAATGGGCACGTCCAGTGTCCAGTGCCAATTAGGATTGGAGGGGCATGTGTGACCTACTGGGGACCAGCCCTTCCCCTCCCAGATAGTCTCAAGTCCAGGTCTTGCCTGGCCACTCTTGCAAATCCAACTTTCGGATGGAGAGAGGGGGAGAGAAAAGTAACCAACCTGAGAGATAAGGGACCGGGGACAAACAGCGTGGGCTGGGCTCAAAGTCCAAGGCTCTTGCCTCCCCACAGGCCTGGCCCCAAAAGCGGCCATCTTCGGCCTCCCTGGCTGGTCATCCTCTCTCTGGCCGCTGGCCAGGGCCCACACTGTTCCCGCTTAGGACTACTGTGTTCCACCTGCCTCTGTCCATGCTGGCCCAGGGCGCCCTCCCGTCCTGTGGCAAATGTGACTCACAGCCCAGTCCAGCCTTGTGTCCCCTCCTCCAAGCAGACCCCCAGTTCAGCCCTGCGTCCCCTCCTCCAAGCAGACCCCCAGCTCAGCCCTGCGTCCCCTCCTCCAAGCAGACCCCCAGCTCAGCCCTGCGTCCCCTCCTCCAAGCAGACCCCCAGCTCAGCCCTGCGTCCCCTCCTCTAAGCAGACCCCCAGCTCAGCCCTGCGCTCCTTCCTTCAGGCAGCCTCCCCAGCCCAGCCTTGCCCTACCCTAGGCCCCCTACTCCAGGAAGCCTCCTCAGCCCTGCCCTAAACGCCCTCCTCCATGCAGACTCCCCCAGCCCAGCCCTGCGCCCCTTCCTCCAGACAGACCCCCAGCCCAG